TTTACAAAGTGACTGATAATCTCCTCTTGAGGAATGTAGACTCTAAGGCAAAAATTTTTGCTGGTTTTTAATCTCTCTAAATCCCAGGGTAATCCCTAAAAGATAAAGTCATTATAGCTGAAAATCAGGCAAACATGTGTTCAATTTTGCTTGTGGTATACTTATTAGTTCTGTGATTTGGATTAAATAACCACAATTCTTTGTAAGCCTCAGCTTCCTCATCTTTGAAATGGGATCATGATCCCTCCTTCACAGAGTTTTTAAGTGGATTAAGTGATATAATATGCTGTGTGTTCAGCATAGTGTCTGTACAAAGTAAAATTGTAACAAAGGCTTGCTGGATACCAAATATTCTGAAGGTGACAAGGTCATCAATGTCTACACTTTGAGTCCTGAAATAAGCCCTGTCTTGTCCATGTCTACCATACACAGGGGAACTTGCTAGTATGAGACCACAGATCCTGCAAGCCTATGGAAGGGGAACTGGAATTCTTTTTCTAGATATCTATGGTTTCCTCTTGACTCCTATCTTACAAAAGCTTCAAGAGTACTGTGAACCCAGCACAAGAGATTTCAGAAGAGGGCCATGTTTATACATCATTAAAAAGATGGAATGATTTCTAGGGAAAGATGGAAGGCCTTGACCACGGAAGGATGAGGCTCTTAATTCTAGTCTGTGGAGACTCGGGGTGAGAAGGGTGTCAGCTGGCTGTGTTCCCATTTCCACTGTAGCTAACACAAAACAAAATGGACTTAAGGATACACTCTGATTAGAAATAAGTAGGAACCTTTTGACAGGAAGGGATATGAGACAACTGAACAAGCACAAAACATCATTGCCTAAAAAAAAAAAAATCTATGATGAGCAAAGATAACAGATAACGAGTTTTCAAAAAGTGATCAACCACAGTATTTTGTTCTTGGACAAAATTCATATTGGCTTCATTCAAATTCACTAGAAACATACAGAATTTCCTTCCTGTAACAAATGGAGATGTCACCCCATTAAAAAAAAAAAAAAAGGGAAAAGGAAAAATAAAGTCAAGAGAAATTTAGCTGTAAGCCCTCACCCTCTCCCTGATTTCGTTATGGTGTGAACTCCCTGTGGGTTTTGCCACCAGGTGGCTACCTACCCAGCTAACCAGAAGCATGGTTCTAGTGGAGGTGTCACGGAAAGGAGATGAAAAGGTTAGAAACGTGGCCTGACTCAAAGTCCTCTTCATGAGGAAAGGCACTACTTGATTCCAGCAGCTCTTTCCAGCCATGTAACCAGGAGCACCAGACTACTGAACTCTGTACTTAACCTATGCCTGTCTGTGCCACAAAGAGACCCAGGTGGTATGCTTCCCCATGTAAGACACAGAAATACTCTGCTAATGAGCCCACTGGCACAGGGTCACCCGGAAAGGCTTTATGAAGCCATAGTTGTTTAGGAGCTCTATTCTGCAAAACTCAGAGCCAGGCACACTGAGGACGCTAGCCGTTGCAGGAGAAGACTGGTATAGAGTCGGGCATCCTGAAGACATAAAAGTAGAGCAAATTTGGGGCCACTAGCAGGAGGAATTAGAAACAAAAAATATTTGTTTTTCTTTTCCTTCCTTCCTTTTACTGAAGTGCAAATATTAAGACCTAACATCTACTGGACACCTTTTATGAACCTAAAGAGATTGATATAATTACTATTTTCCAGATGAGGAAGCCAAAGCCCAGAGAGATTAATCAGAACATAGTAGTAGTATATTGTGTAGATAAGAGCTTGGGCTTTGGAACACCTGGGTTTGATTTCTGCCTCCACCACACCTTAGCCTGATGACCATGAATAAGGCCCTCAGTTCTAACCCCCAAGAAACTGTACAAAATGTGAAAAGTAGGAGTGGAGTCTGTTTTGTTCTCTACTGACCAGCCCAGTGAATAAAGAAGTAAGACCAAAACAAATTACCAGCTGGACAGAGATGTCGGAGTATTTCAAGGTAAAGCGGAAGAATGCTACCAACAGCCTGGACAACTGGCTACCAGTATGGTTAGACCAGAGGGCATGACACATTTACTTCTGCACATCCTATGGGCTCCACTTTATCCTTTGTCTCTTCCCTATCCCTAGGGAATTTATAATCATTGCCCACTGAGAGTAATGCAACCTGGCTTAGAATTCTCAGTCTGAAATTCCCTTGTATTTAAGTCCTCTTTTAGATCTCCAAGAACCCTAACTACGTAAAATACCACTTCAGTGATCTGCGTATGATTCTCAAATATATTTCTCTCTCTTTATCTGGTACTGGCTCTAGTCCTTTAATATTCCGAGTTGTTCAAACTTTAGGTAAACTTCTTCCTACCTTTTTAATATATAAATCTTAATCTTTTTAAAATTTCCCAACTCATCTATACTTTTCTGTTCCTATTGAGTGACTTCTTGTGTTTTGAAACCAATTCATCATGTAAATGACTTCAAGGACAGGGGTAATCAATGATCACATACCAGCTAGTTTTAGAATCTTCCAATTTTTGGAAAGCGCTTGGAAGATCAGCAAGGAGAAACTTAATAGAGGAAGAAAGAAACAAAGGCTCGGTCAGCAACGTTCACAAGTGACTGAATAAAAACACAGACTCTACTTCAAGTATGAGGGTAATGAGAAAAAAATTGTTTATTCTTTTATTTGAGATAGAAGATAATTAAATTATTGGACATCTAATGAGCATCCTCTATGTCCTGGGTCCTGTGTAAATTGCTGGGGATATAAAGCCAGGTCTAGCCCTTGGAGAACTGGTAGTCTAGGGCAAAGTTTCTCAACCTCTGCACTACTGATATTTTGAGTAGATGATTCATTGTTATTTGGGGGGGGGGGGTGAGGAGGGAGAATGTTGTGTAGTGTAGGGCATTCAGCGGCATCCCTGGCCTCTACCCACTGGATGAAATAGCTTCCTGCCTCCCTTCTCAGTTGTGACAACCAAAAATATCTCCAGATATTACCAAATACCCTTGGGAGAAAACTGCTCCCCACTCGAGGACCACTAGTTTAGGGAAAGATCGTTTCTTTAATACACTGTGATAAGTCGTACAATCATCACAACCGTGAGTAGAAAGGAGGGCTCCTTAGATTTTGGGGCAGGTAGAAGAATATGCCACAAGAAGTTTCACAGAATAAATGACATTTAATGCTTAATTTTTGAAAATATTTAGCAGTAGAAGCAGACAAGAAGAGGGAAAACTCTGGACATAGGGAAGGAGATGGAATGAGAGAGAGGAGAGAGAATGAGCAGAAGAATGAAGAGAGAAAGACCATTCTGGCAGAGATAAGAGGATGAACAAAGGCCCAGAGCAAGAGGGACCACAGAGTGTCTGGCCAGGAGGAAAGGGTTTGCATGGGGCAGAATCAGAAATAAGGCTGGCACCAGACCATGTCACATAAGGAGGAAGCTGAAATTTTCATATAATAAATAAATACATACTTTAAACACAGTGGAGCCCTTTTTTAAACAAAAGCTTACCCAAATCTCTAGCCTATTATACTGACCAAAATAAAATTGCTTAGACCATGGTGCACTCAGTTTTCCCCTTAGCTTCTAAAGCACCTCTGTGGAACCCTAGAACTCTGGGAAACATAGTAGAATAATCACTTTTGTAGGCAACAGGGCACCACTGAAGGATGTTAAGCACAGACTATATGTTCATATTTGCTTTTCAGAAAAAGCACTCTTGTGGCAGAGTTGAGTATAGAGGAGGGACAAGGGGGAAAGCATGGAGACTGTCGGCCTTTTATATGTGGGTTTCACTTAAGAGACCAGTCGTCAGCTACAACACGTAGGGAAAAAGCACATTGGCTTTGGACTTACACACATGTAGCTTCAAAGTCCAGGTGTCACTAACTATGGCCTTGGGCATGCTAGCTTGGGCTTGCCAAGCTCTATTTTCCTCTACAAAATGGGGCTACCTACCTCACTTGGCTGCTACAAGAAAACATATGTACACAGAGCTCAGGTGCTGGCATATGAGGAGAACTCAGCAAATGTAAAAGCACATCATCGTCTTTCACTAGGTCTTTTTATTATTAAAGCTCATTAGGCTTCCCTAATCTTAAGTAACTCTGAGTGTGGGAGGGGAGATTTACTTGCTTGTTGTTAATGAATTTTCTACTTGTAGAACTGACACATAATTCTGTTTTTAACATTGGTTTTTCTTTTTTGGAGTGACTTATTATCATGAGCCACATGCCAACAGAGGAGGTCAGAATTTGGCTTCTTACTTTAGTATCTGCCAGGATGTCTCAAAGGAGAGAAATAAAAAAAAAAAAATGGTCAAAAGGTCAAAACAGAAGCACTGTATATCTGTTTAGTTCTGAGACCATGTCTCTGGCCATCCTGAGTTTAGCAAAGCTTGTGTCAGTTTCATGGTTAGGAAGTCAGCAACTAAAAACTCCACCCACGTACATATCTTTTAGGAGACGCAAGTGGCTTTGGGATCACAATCCACATCTTACATCCAAGTATACTTTGATTCCTTACCATCCAACGTAAGTAACTTTTTTTAGTTAATATTTATATACCTTTTGGAGAAAACAAACTTAATTTTCAGAGCACTGATCTGTTTTCTCCTTGTCTCACCATTTATCATCCCAGTGAAAAGGTCAGTGAAGAGAAATGTCCACTGTACACAGTGAAAGGTACAGGGCTTGGGGGTTTAACTGGGTGGAGAATTGATCCCCGAGTAGGAAGAGTTAAGGTAAAGTGTCTTAAGATCACAGGCAGGGTCTATAAATCAGTGGATTATGCCAGAAGCCTCACAGAAGCAGACCCATTTATACCTTAGACATTGAGGTGATTAACACAAGCCTTTCGGTACTCTTGAGGCAGTCTCATCCCTGTGCCCCTATGACAGAACCTGTCCTCCCTCAGGGCTGCAGGGTTCCTAGACTCTTATTTTCCTCTCTAGTGCAGAATTCAGCATCACATCCACCCTTGTCCAACTTGAGACTCTGATACAATGGCGAACTCCTCTGTCTTACCTCTGAATTAAGGTCCCAAAGACAAGATGAAGAACTTTCTGCATGTTTTCTGTACACAGCCACCTCCACTGTTCCATGAGCAGCAAGAGGAGCAGATCTAGGGCTGTGTCAGCTAGCTCTGTCTCTGCTCCTGGGGAATGAAAAGACATCATAGGTAACTCAGAAGAGACCCAAGCTGGAGGAACATATTTCCATACATTGGATCTTCATCTTTAGATCATTGTGTATTTCTGTAATCCTTCTATACTCAACAGATGTTTACTTTATATCTAAAAAGTTTAGTTGATAGGCTCTATATTTCTTTACAATTCCTTTGCTTATGTTCCTTAGTCACTCAATAGTATTTACCTTTCTAAAAGATTTTGCATATAATTATTTTGCCCATCTAGCTGCTGTTTCTTTGGTATTTCCCCCAAGGAGCTGAATAATTCTGTTCCAAGTAACTGCTCCCAACTAGTGACTAACTGGAACTGGCAAGGCCCAGTTTCTTCCATTCTTATATTCCATTGGCCTCCACAAAGCTTCACGGAAATGTTGTGGGCAACAGATTTAGGGAAAGATTTGGGATTCATTGTCCCATAAACAAGTTGCTTTGAAAGCATCTCCATTACACAGAACTGTTCGATTGGGATCTAGAAGGCTTCAGTTTGCTTTTGAGATCACATGTGGTTCTAGGAAGAGAACTCCACCTTTGGTAAAATATGCCATGACAATGACTGATTCCTTTCCTTTTTCAAAGACTGGAAAGACCACAAATAGGTTCACACCCATGTTAAGCCAAAGTCTCCTGAACAGATGTACTTTACGGATGGAAGCACCTGTTCTTTTTTTTTTTTTTTTTAAAGATTATTTATTTATTCATGAGAGACAGAGAGAGACAGAGAGAGAGAGACAGAGAGAGAGGGGAGCAGACATAGGCCGAGGAAGAAGCAGGCTCCATGCGGGGAGCCCTGATGTGGACTTGATCCCGGGTCTCCAGGATTATGCCCTGGGCTGAAGGCAGGCACCAAACCACTGAGCCACCCAGGGATCCCCACACCTGTTCTTTAACCCAGTTCAGGGGGTCCCATGTCATCTGTGATTTGCTTCCTAGGAGATGTCCCTAGGAATACATAATATTCCAGAATGAATCTCAACAATCTGGTGCTACTGCTGCAATTAGTATCATAATCAATCATCAACACTAATTTTGTTAGTCTGGGACCAGTGGGTATTGTCTGGGCCAGCTTGCTCAAGCTCTCCTCCCTAAAGGGTTCTTTAGGACATTAATAATTTTAGATTTGGGTGAATCTGCTAGAACCGAGTCCTACTTTTTCTTAATCCCATCTGATATATATTTTTTTCTTACACTGCATTTCAAGGGGGCATGGGGACTGGTATATTTACTTTCCAGTCATTTGCTCAAAGACAGGATATTCAGTTCCTTGGGTAACAGCACCATCCTGAGCATCAGCCACCCTTCTGGATTCTAGGGTTTTGTTTTAGTGTTTACTTAGAGCTGCCACCACGTGGTGACAACTGGTCATAGCAGTAAAAAATAAGAAAGCAAAAAGAGGCACCAAGTCCTCTGGAAGAACACTGGTAAATTTCTTATCAGGTGAGCATTTTGAGTTTCTCAGGGCTAGAAGAGAAGCTGAGGCATAAACTATACCCTTAGAGATATGACGTTTGAAACTTACAGGCCTGACTTTGGCTAGAAGTATACTGTGTTACCCATTTTGTCTTATTTGTAATTTCTTACAGTTCTCTGATGCTTTGCTATTATCACAGTTCATTTACTTAACCGGAGAGAGATGTGTGAAGAGGTGGAGTTGTGAACTTCACGTTTCACACAGTTAGGTTGAGGTCCATACAGTAGAGATAAGGTGACTATTCAAGGGCACCTGAGAAACAATGCTGAAGTCAGCCTTTCCCCCGCACCCCTTTTGAACCCAAGATTTTGTGATCTTTTCTTTTCAGTGAGAGACTCTGTCTTGGTGGACTTGAAAAACCTTTTATAAGTTCTAGCTCAGCAAACAAACAATGTCCAGGGCTCTCAATTTTTCCTCTGTGAAAAAAACATCTGTGCTTCTTCTGGGAAGCAAACCTGCCCTGTCCTCACCTCTTCTCCCTCTCTGCTCTATGTTAGGGAACTGGGAGGTGGCATCTGCCAGGGCAGTAAATGAACCAGAAGGAAAAGATCCAGGGAAAAGGAAGGATTCCATGTTGCTCTTCAGTTGCCCTGTGGTATATCAAAGCAGAGATTTCCAACAGGCAAGTGGAAAGACAACATCCAATAGTCAGGTACCATTAGCACACAGTAGATTTAAAATCAAGAGTACAAATGAGATCACTCAGGGGGAGTATGCAGAATAAGAACAGAGAGCCAAAAATAAAGTTCTGGAAGGCTACCAAGGGAATCCACAAAGGGGACTGAGGGAGGACCCCAGGAGACGGGTACCACAGACGTGAAAGAAAGTAAGTTTGCAGATAAAGGGAGTCATCTAAAGATGCCCAAGTGTGGCAAAAATAACATAAATAATGATATTGTAAGCATGGATCTTATTTTGCTGGACCAGAACCCCGTTTTTGTGCCGTTTCTCTGTTTGACTCAGCTCTAGGGACAGTGTCAAATTCCTTCGTATCCCAGGCCTCGGCACAGTACCTCAAACACTGCTGTTGAACACATGGTTTGCCTCGCTGAACGCAAGAGAAATTAAATCCATGAATTCCAACTGTCACAGCCTGCCTCCCTTCTCTGTGGGAGCAGAGATCTTGTCACGTACCTGGAGCACTATTGCTGAGGTCTTGGGCTGGCACAGCTGCATCTGACACATAACCATCCACACAGCCTTTGGGGCTTTGTTCAGGCTCTTTTTCTGGGACTTCTGTTGGCTGTATTTCTAATAACTTTGTCTGTTTTTCAATAAAGGATTCCATCCCAGACATGGACAGGATCTCTGACTCCTGAAGAAAGAGCCAGTGGCACATCACATAAAGAATGAAGAAAACAGGAGAGCATCTGTGGCACTTCTGATTTTCCCTGTTCCTTCCCTGCGTAAGTATCGTGAGAGTATAGAACCCAAATGACTCTGTGACCACCTTCGGAAAGTTTTTATTTTCTACCTAAATTGCAAGTAAAGCAATGCCTTTGTATTCTCACTGGCTGCAAATGCACTTGGGTCATCTGTTCTCTCCCTGGAACTGGCTTCCCTTCTCATTCTACCATCCTTTATTCCAAACTTATGACCCTTGAGAAGCTAACTTGCCAACCTAGACCTGGTAGGAATTAGAAACCGAGAGAAAATACTTTTAGAACAAAAATTAGAGATCTAGATGCTGGTTAAGGTGCTTTAGCAAGGCACCCACATCCCTCCTGGTTTCGGAGAATGTCTCAATTGTCTCTAACTGCGGGATTAACATCCCAGCTATTAATTTCAGTAGTTATCCAAGAACCTCTTACCACATTGCCTTCCTGGAGACAATAGAGAATCTTCTCAGGTGCCTCAGTTATATTCAGTGCTGGAGCAATCTTACTGGAGAACCTCAGTCTAGACCTGGTATTGATACAAGACACAGAAACAAGATGTAATTCACGGTTTTGATCCCCAATCAAGGGCTGACAAGAATTGATACCTTAAAACAAGAACACTCATAGTTATCCTTGGGAGCTTACTGTGGTCAGAGTTGCCAGGAGAGACCTGGCCCTGAAATTCCTGAAACGATATACGCTCTAGCAACTCTTAATACATAGTACAGCCATTGCCTAAGCTATGTTCACAAGGCATTTGTGAAAGGGCTTTTGCTAATGTAAAACAGGGGCCAGTCTATCATGGCTGTATTCCCATAAGCTAGAAGAATGGCTAGCATACTCATTAAAAATTTGTTGGAGATTAAGTAGACAAGTGGCATAAACCAAGGTTTTTGTTGTTGTTATTACCCTTTTTGCACATCCACTTATTCCCCTAGCGTTCCAAATAAAACCAGGGGAGGGACTGCAAATGCTAACCTCATGTTTCAAGGATCTTCTAAGCACAGATATCTTGGTCACCCTTCAAAATATGGGCTCAGTAGAAAAAGGCTAAAAATTGTGTAACTGCTGGTCCCTGAGACAGGAACACAAAAATAGTGAGACACACATACACGAACTTACAAACTTGCCACCCTTCCTTCTCCCCTCTCCAAAACACACACACACACTCTCTCTCACTTTCACTCACTCACTCTTTTTCTTCATAATGGTCCAGGTTCAGATATGAAGTCTGCAGTAAGGGTTAAGTGTGGAACCCTTTCCCTTCTACGTATTGACCCTGAACGGTTTCCTCTGGGACCCTAGTGCAAGAGAAGAGCCTAAAACAGGCTCTACAGGTGTCCAGTCTGGCCTTTCTTATTATTAGCATATGCATCTTCTGAGCTAAGATTTCCAGGAGTGACAAACAGTTAAAAGCCGTCATTCTTAATAGGAAAGAAATATTTCAATCTTCCAGGAAAAATCTTTCCTTGCAGGAAAAGGAGATTATCTAGAGTCTGCCCTCTAGTCAAAACTCCCTGGTCAGTTAAGTCCTGGGTCCCCATGGCAATACAAACTTCAGCAGGGTGCCTATGCTGATCTCAGGCTCCTCTAAGTTGAGCACTGAGGAGTGTGGGGTCTGGCTTTGTATAAAAACCGGTGTGTGTGACCCATCTCTTCTTCTCTCCTTGGGCTTAGAGAGTGGGGATGGGCTTGGGCTAAAGATTGACAAATCTGAGAACTGGCAAGGGTCCCTTGGTGACCGAAGGGTTTCTCACTTGCTAGGCTTCTTGCCTTCTGTCTGGGGCTTGCTTTCTGTCTCAGCCTCACTCAGCTCTTCTGTGGGGCTCTGGGGTTCGGAGCGCGGAAATGCTGTCTTCAATGTGTCCACAATAGCACTCACCACCATCTGCAAGGGTCAGAGGTGCAGAGTCAAACAGAAACCACCAAATGAGCAATTGTCTCAGGTGCTTTATGCAATGAAGATGAGCAGAGAGCTAGGCTAGCTAGTGGAGCCTTTTCACTCCCACTAGTCTGAGAGCAGATAGAGTTACTGGCAACTATCCTCCCTTTTCCCTAGGGTCATAAAAATCTGCTTCTTCACAGAGTTAAGGCAAACAACGCCATAGGAAAAGAAGCCAAAACAAACAATGAAATAAATAAAAACCTGGGAGCTCTTCAGGCTGGTGAAATATTTTGCATTTTTCAATTTCTCTCCTAGTACATAAAGGAATGATTTTTAGTTCTCAAATCAATAATACTTTCGCCAAGATGTGAATAAGTAGAAGTGATATAGGTAGGAATATATGGAAAAAGGAAAGATTAAAGATTATCAGAGAAGAAATACATTCTAGAAGCATATGTAATACTAGCATGCTCAGAAAATTCACAAAGAACTGGTTTTTCCAGTTAATCCAAACAATTTTTCTCCTTTATAGAAAGAGTAAATCAAGGCATCTGGAGTTGATATAAACTATTCATAAAGACCAAATAAAATAATCCTCACTGAAGAGTTGTATTTCTCAGAATGGGAAAATCACATATAGATATTTGCTAAAAAAGAAAATGTACAGACAAACGAAATCCTAAAATACCAAAGAAATGAAAAGAAATCTTTACTTTTCCTTTGGTGCTCCTTGCTAATTAACACTGCTAGCTCAGAGCAGCACCATGCCTTCCTTAACTCATGCTTGTGTTCATCCTCTACGAGGAGCACAGCTAGCACAGCTGAGCCAAGGCTGAAGGGGGAGTAAGGCCACAGTGAAGCGCAGGGGATAACAAACCAGGGAAACCACATGGAGTGAGGGAAGCACGAAGAGACAGTGCAGCTTAAAAAATAGCACTTGCTTTCAAGGCTCACAAATTGTAGTCTGTGGGGAGGGTCCTTAACTGCTCCATCCAGTGCTGTATCGCCAGCAGCTGGTACTTGACCAGGCAAGCAACGAGTGGATGGTGACTCAGTGAGTAAACACGTCTGCGTGGATGGACACGTCTGCACGGAATGCTGGGGACTCTACCTCACTCATCCCTTTCCAGTTTGCAGCTTTTTCCTCATAGCAGTGAATGTTTCCTAATTCCTACCACACGAAATTCCACTTTTTCATTTTATCCCCTGACGTCTAGAGAGAGGTCCCCCCTTCTGCCAATGAGTCAGTGTTTTCTAACCTTTTAAAACATATGCCTTCTTTGGATAAACATAAACCTTAGACTTGTGCCTTGGAGACTTTAAAATCAGCTGGTAATCACTGCCTACAGGACACAATGTGCTACACAAACGTCCTTTTCCCACCATCTCCAAAGGTTCTGAGACACCCTCTTGAAAAAAGTATAATTCTTTCCACACACTGTTCTCCAGAGAATCACCACACCAATCTAAATCCAGCTTAGTGTCCAGTCTCAGGCTCTTTCCTGGGTGACCAACACCAGGAATGATCTTTATCTCCAGGAGAGACTTTCCTGCCCTCACCTATCTATGGAGTTACAAATTGATCCTTATCGCCCTCCTTTAGAATTACTGTGTCATACTATCCCCCAGGAGACATGTGTACACATGTAGTATCATAGTTGCTCACTGTCATTCAGCTAGGTGATGATCCAACCAATATTTACAACTGGTCTCGAAAATTCTAGTCCACGTTCTATGGACTCCTCTCTGCTGTCTCTCCCTGCCCCCAACCTCCTTTATTTTTCAGTCACTGCCTACACTCTGGTGAGAGACTAAAGCTGAGCGCAGTGGCCCTGCTGGTACCTTGTCTATTCTGGACACCATGAATGGTTTCTTGACAAAGGCAATACGAGCATCTGTGTTCAGAGCAAGGAACTCCTGCATCTCCTCACTGTTAGTGATCTCTGGAATGGCACAGAGTTGCTGCAAAAGACAAAAAGGATTTCAAAGAGAAATTCCCAGTCTCCAGGTCTCTCCAGCTTGGCTGAGGTATCTGGTAATTAGAATGAGAGCACAGCAGAAGCAGAAGGATGCTGACCTTTAGAAAGGATTCCAGGAGGCTCTTACGGGCTTCTACTCTGTCACTATCCATGTTTCCAAATGGAAGATCTGGAAAGAGCTTTTTAGGACCTTTCACATCTTAAAAAAAAAAAAACAAAAACAAAAACACAAACTCATTCACTTAGCATTCACAGAGAGATATTCCATATAAAACACATCATATATGTAAAGAAAATACAACTGTTGGATATATTCCTGCAATTTCCCTATTTCAGGGGTTCCAAATATATCCCAAGGATATAGTACATGCAATCTACTCTCGTTATCAGTGTTCATACTAAGGTACAGGAGACCATACATACAGTGGTTTGACATGAGGGCTCTGAAGTCCAGTTGCCCAAGTCTAAATTTTTGCTCCAATCCCTACTGTAAGAATGACCATAGGCAAGTTGCTTAATCTTCCTTTGATTTTTTTTTTCTGTAAAGTGAGGATAATGATAGTACCTATCTCATAAGTTGTTAATTAAATGAGCTAATATGTGTAAAGTATTTAGTAGAGAACCTAGCATAGGTTTTCAAGCTTGATTTAGTAGTAACTATTATTATAAAGAAAGAAAATGTATAACTGAAACCTTTAACTTATGCCTAAGCTTATTAAAAGATTTGGGTGATCATCAGTAATTTTTTTTTTTAAACCATGTAGCTGCTTACTAGCTTATTTTTAGAGTTAAATTTTAGAGTTATTTTAGAGTTACATTTTCTTACTCTTACTGTGTCTTATGGGTGTCAATTAGCAAACACACAAAAAGACTGGTTGTTAAAGGATGGATGGCAAGCATTTCTGGATACTATTTTAATACTTAAGAGCAATCCATCTATATATCTGGAAAAGTTAATTTAACTCCTCACACTACCTCACAGACACAGGAGGAAATGTGAAAGTTTCTTAAGCTTACTCTAGATGGGGCCCAGAACAAAGCATTAAATAGCAAAGAAGTGCCTCTGAAAGAATGTGATCACGGCTATCCAGCACAAAAACCCAAAATATCTGAAAGCAAACTGGGGGAGCATGGACCCGCATTCTCCTCCTCCATTTCCCCCCACAAACTAGTAGGCCTCCAGCCTTTTGGATCAAGTGGCTGGATGTGTAAAGCAAGCAGTCTGGGCTAGGAAAACTCCTGACTTTTGATGAATTTTCGCAGATCTGATTTCTCTTCCAGACGAGTCTGTAGATTCAGGAACTCGCGGTAGCGGCGGTTCACGGTGTGGTAGGCCACCTGCTGCAGGCCACTGTTGTTCTCACCGTCCAGGGCTGTTTCATACTGTTGAAGGAACAAATCTGTTTAGTGCATCACCTCAGTGGCCACACGGTAAGAGCGGAGTAGGGGTAGTGGGAGGGAGATGTTCCTATGCTGTTTCTGAACCTACTAGATCTGATTGTTGCTCTGAGTTGTAATGAATAACTCCTATTCCCATAGCGGCTGAATTAAGGAATGAGAAGCAGTTCCCAACATATGTGGCCCAGAAAGTGAGTTTTGCTATTCTCCATTCCCTTCTTCCATCTCAAAACTCCCTCCTGCAAACACTTTCTTTACTTATAAAAATGGCTACAGGGCTCCTCAGTGGCACAGTTGGTTAAGTGTCCAACTCCTGGTTACAGCTCAGGTTGTGAACTCATGGTCGTGGGGTTGAGCCCTGTGTCGGGCTCCATGCTTGGAGCCTTGGGATTCTCTCTCCCTCTCCTTCTTTTGCTTGTATTCCCTCTCTCTTGCTCTTTCAGAAATAAATAAATCTTTTAAAGAAAGGCTATATTACTATCTTTCAAATCTCAAAGAATTTAAAACAGAAGGTACAACGGCAATAAAAATGATACTGCCTCTTTTGCTCCTAAACTATGGATTGGACGTTCCAAGAGGATAACCATTTGCCATTGTACTGCATCAGTGATGATTTAGTTAGTTGGAGGTGAAGAGCAAATAGTCCAAAAGAGCTAATGAATAAAATCATTTGTTTGCCTGGAATGCATTAAAGGAACATGTGTTTTTATTTTGCTTTGGGCAGATTAATTATTATTCTCGGGGGATCCCTGGGTGGCGCAGCGATTTGGCGCCTGCCTTTGGCCCAGGGCGCGATCCTGGAGACCCGGGATCGAATCCCACGTCGGGCTCCCGGTGCATGGAGCCTGCTTCTCCCTCTGCCTATGTCTCTGCCCCCCCCCCTCTCTCTCTGTCTGTGACTATCATAAATAAATAAAAATTAAAAAAAATTTAAAAAAAAATTATTATTCTCGGAGCTAAGCTGATTTTTTTTTTCCTGAGTACATATCATCTGTATGATTGGAAGTCACATGAAGACCGAAGATGTTGTAAGGGGTCAAAGTTTGCGGTCTTCAAATGTGTGGAGGGCCAGTAGGTGGGAAAATACAACTTGTGCTGAATGTTCCCTCAGAGCAAACACCCTGAACAGCATGGAAGCAGCAACTCAACTCAGTACAGGGTAGACTTTTTCAGGGAGTAGTTAAGATATAATGAGTGACGTGGAATAACTGTGTCTGTACTTCTTCTCGTTAAGGGTAGGTTACCATTATTGTTTGGGGGAGCTATTATATCGTGGGGCAAGTGATGGAAGAAATGGTGTCTTTGTTGGTGGGACTTGAGGCTGTTTTAAAATTTTCTAGAGCAGGAGAGAAGTGTTCATTATGAACTGACATAAGCAAAGTAGTAATCCCTCAGACCAACACTGAGAAGGCAAGGCCTAGGTATGAGACATAGAGAAAATACAGGGTGGGGCTCTCACACTTGGAGCACCTGGGAGTTTCTATGGAATATTCTGCTCCTTGGGGAACACTAGCCAATACTCATACATTCCCAAACCTGGCTGCACCTCAAAAATCACTTGGGTTGCTCTTTAAATAGATTTTGGATGAAAATTCACAAAAATGCCCTCTTCTGGTTTGGAGGCAGTCTGTCCTAAAGCTAGTTTTAGGGAGCTGCTGCTGTAATTGAACTCACCATCTGCTACATGAACCCCTTCGTATCATCTCTGCCAAGTAATTCCTACTTCTGTGCTTAAACACCTCTAAGAGTGAGGAACTTGCTACCTTCTGAGGTATATATAGGTAAATAAATCTCTTCCTAAACAAGGTACAAAAGATACTAGTAATTAAAAAAGGAAAGAAAGAAATTCACAGGGATGTTTGGAAAGAGAGTTAGTTTCTGGACAAGACTCTGTACGCTGGGAACAACTGAAACACATGACCCTCAGTATCCTAAGAACCCTGAGATTCTAGGATTGTTCCTGTAGGTTCTAAAGAGAACCCAACTCTGCTTTCTTTACAAATAATTTTCAGACCATTCACATATAGATTCCTGTCCAATTGAACCCAGCAAATCAAGTAAGAGGAGCCTCTCTCCCTTAGAATACTAGCTTCATTGACTGTACTTTCCAAACCCATTCCCAGCCCGGAGTGGGTGGCCATAATTCTAATCCTGTTACCTTCACCGTGTAGAGGGTGTATGGGTGGAATCCAGTGCCACTGTGCTCTCGAGCAGTAATGGTACCAGTGATACGAAGGTTCTGGATGACAACCGGGCCATCTGGACTGGTCAGGGGCTCAAAGCTGAAGGTGGCTGAGCTGAGAGGACCGGTTGGAGAGGAAGAAAGCAGAACCTGTGGCAGACTAGGGTCTACGGAGCTCACGCCATTGGTGAGATCCTTCTCTAAGCACGAGGGGCATGGGGGGCAGGTCCTTTCTGGATCTGTCAGCAAAGCTGTAAGAGAGGTGACATCCCCTTGTTCTCCTTCTTTGTCTGCTGCGTCAATGTGGATCTCTGGGCAGGAAGTCAGCATGGAGACCAGCAACCCTGTCTCTGTTCCTGGACCCTCCTCAGCCTCTGCTCCTTCGATTCCTTCGGATCCCTCGACATCCTTAGACTCCAGGGACTGGGGACCCTCTAGGGCACACAGGGCATCCTGGATCCTGTCAGAGAGGAAGTTGCCTGGGGTCATGAGCATGATGGTTTCTTTGCTCAGTTCACACAGCGGAGACTCCAGCTCTGTGTCTTCACATAGGAACAAAGGGCCTCGAATGTCTGGCTGTAAGAAACGGGAGGAGTTGTTTCCTACTTTTCTTTCTTCTGTCACCACACCCAGTTCTCCCTCCATGGCTTCGTGGCCCTCTTCAACGTCTGGGGAGGGGTGGGAAGGCCCGTCTGGCTCACTACAGCTCAGCAGCACCGGCGGTGCGCCTGGAGAAGGGGCTCTCACTTCTGGCAGACTCTGTACCTCAACTATCAGCGGCAGAGACGTGGGCACTGAGGGCTTTTCCAGGGCGCTAGCTGCGGACGTGGGTTTAACCACCGATGCTGGATTATTTCTGGCCTTGGAAAAGACGCCCACAAGGACAAGGTGGATCCAGTCGGGATCCGACAGCTTGCTGATTAGTGGCAAGACTACATTGCAGGTAATGAGCTCCACCACCACGTGGCGGCCGGTGCGCGTCTCCAAGTGCGGCTTGGGCACCAGTCCCTGAAGCAGCACGCTCACCAAGCCGCGCGTATAGGCCACCTCGGTGCTGGGGCTCTGCACCGCGGGGTGGGGGGCAGTGGCTCGGCAGTAGGCCTCCCAGAGCCGCGAGGGCTCGGCTGTACCACTGTGCTCCGCGGCCACCGCTTCCTTGGCCTGAATATAGCTCTGCAGGTGACAGCCGCACAGGGTCAGCACCCTGCGGGCAAGGGCCTGGCTGTCCACCACGCCCATCCTCCTCCGGAGCTCCCCGACCAGCCCTCTCATGGCGGCCTCCATTTCCTCCTCAAAGGCCGGCTCCTGGCTCACCGAGCGGTACCAGGACGACACAAAGTCCCGAATAATCATCTGGATGGTGCGATCGATCTCCTGCTCCAGCTGCCTCTCGGCCTCGGGGCTCGCGGGGCAGGAGGCCACCGGGATGAAGCGCTCCAGGTGCAGTCGGCCCGAGGCCCCCACCACGGCGTCCGAGCCCAGCCACCCGCCCAGCAGCGCCAGCAGCGCAGACAGGACGCACAGCAGCCACACGTTCACCAGCAAGTGGATGACCAGGAGCCAGCCCAGCACGATCCCCGCGGCCACCAGCTTCCGGCTGCTCAGCAGGCTGGGGAGGCTCCAGCTGGACTGGGCCGGAGCCTCCCGCGGCGGGGACACGGTCTCTGCCTGCATGGCCGGACGGACGGACGGATGGACGGACGGCACCGAGGATCGATTGGCCTCTTTCTACTCCGGGTGAGTCAGGGGTCAGTCAGGGGTCGGGACCTGAGCTGTGCGCGGAGACCAGGATATCGGGGAGCGGCTCAGGCAGCGCGGCTCTGGGCCCTCGGCGTCCTACAGGCGCTGCAAACAGACAGAGGCGGCCCTGCCTGTGCCCCTCGCTCCCGCCGGGCGCCCAGACGGTGCTGCCTTCATAACGCGGGGTCCCGGAGCCTCCGCACCACTGGGGGGAGGGGTCACGGATGCTGGAGCCTCCGCAAGGCCCAGGGAGGGGGGGTCAGGGATGCTGGAGCCTCTGCACGGCGGGGGGGGGGGGGGGGGGGAGGGATGTTGGAGCCTCCGCACGGCCCGAGGTGGGGGCAGGGATGTTGGAGCCTCCGCACCGCCCGGGGAGGGGGGAGTCAGGGATGCTGGAGCCTCTGCACCGCCCGAGGGGGGGCAGGGATGCTGGAGCCTCCGCACGGCCGGGGGGGGGGGCAGGGATGCTGGAGCCTCCGCACAGCCCAGGGAGGGGGGTCAGGGATGCTGGAGCCTCCGCACAGGCCGGGGAGGGGGGGCAGGGATGCTGGAGCCTCCGCACGGCCGGGGGGGGGGGGGGGGGCAGGGATGCTGGAGCCTCCGCACAGCCCAGGGAGGGGGGTCAGGGATGCTGGAGCCTCCGCACGGCCGGGGGGCGGGCAGGGATGCTGGAGCCTCCGCACAGCCCAGGGAGGGGGGGCAGGGATGCTGGAGCCTCCGCACGGCCCGGGGGGGGGGCAGGGATGCTGGAGCCTCCGCACAGCCCAGGGAGGGGGGGTCAGGGATGCTGGAGCCTCCGCACGGCCGGCGGGGGGGGGGCAGGGATGCTGGAGCCTCCGCACAGCCCAGGGAGGGGGGTCAGGGATGCTGGAGCCTCCGCAGGGCCGGGGAGGGGGTCAGGGATGCTGGAGCCTCCGCACGGCCGGGGGGGGGGGGCAGGGATGCTGGAGCCTCCGCACAGCCCAGGGAGGGGGGGCAGGGATGCTGGAGCCTCCGCACGGCCCGGGGGGGGGCAGGGATGCTGGAGCCTCCGCACAGCCCAGGGAGGGGGGGTCAGGGATGCTGGAGCCTCCGCACAGGCCGGGGGGGGGGGCAGGGATGCTGGAGCCTCCGCACGGCCCGGGGGGGGGGCAGGGATGCTGGAGCCTCCGCACAGCCCAGGGAGGGGGGGCAGGGATGCTGGAGCCTCCGCACGGCCGGGGGGGGGGCAGGGATGCTGGAGCCTCCGCACGCCGGGGGGGGGCAGGGATGCTGGAGCCTCCGCAGCGCCCGGGGGGGGGGCAGGGATGCTGGAGCCTCCGCACGGCCGGGGGGGGGGGCAGGGATGCTGGAGCCTCCGCAGCGCCCGGGGGGGGGGGTGGGGGGGGAGGAGGAGGGAAGGGATCCGGGTCCGGGGTCCGGGAGCCCCCGCGCCCAGCACTCACCGTCGCCGAGGGCCGGGTCACACAGCGCCGGGGCGCGCCGGGAGCGAGCCGGGAAGGGCGGGGCCCAACGGTGTCCCCCGCGCCCTCGGGGGAGCCTCCGCCAGGCTGACCCGGCGACCGCGCGGGGCTCCCGGCTCCCGACCCCGAGGCCGGCGGCCCCGCGACTGCTTCCGGGTGGCGAGGGCGGAGCGGGGCATGCCGGGAGCACGGGCGGGCTCCCCCTGCTGGTGCGGGGCGGCGGCGACGGCGCGGAGCCTGGGCGGGCGGGGCCCAGCGGGGCGGCGGGACCGAGCCTTAAGGACCAGATGATCCAGTTGCATCCTCGGGGCGGGTGCTGGGTGCTCGCGCCTGCGAGTGTGCACCACGGCCGCGTCTCCATCCACCACCTGTCGGACACCGAGGCTCCTCCCTCGGCGGCGACCGTGCACGTTGCTGCGGAGAACACCGGGGTGCGGGGGTCCGGGCGCTTCACTGCATCTGCATCTTTGGGGTGAATCCCCAGCAGTGCGATTGCTGGGTCGTAGGGCAGGTCTATTTTTAACTCTTTGAGGAACCTCCACTCAGTTTTCCAGAGTGGCTGCACCAGTTCACATTCCCACCAACAGTGTAAGAGGGTTCCCTTTTCTCCGCATCCTCTCCAACATTTGTGGTTTCCTGCCTTGTTAATGTTCCCCATTCTCACTGGTGTGAGGTGGTATCTCATTGTGGTTTTGATTTGTATTTCCCTGATGGCAAGTGATGCAGAGCATTTTCTCATGTGCATGTTGGCCATGTCTATGTCTTCCTCTGTGAGATTTCTCTTCATGTCTTTTGCCCATTTCATGATTGGATTGTTTGTTTCTTTGCTGTGGAGTTTAATAAGTTCTTTATAGATTTTGGGAACTAGCCCTTTGTCTGATATGTCATTTGCAAATATCTTCTCCCATTCTGTAGGTTGTCTTTGAGTTTTGTGGACTGTTTCTTTGGCTGCACAGAAGCTAATCTTTTTTTTTTTTTAAGATTTACTTATTTATTTATTTATTTATTTATTTATTTATTTATTTATTTATTTATTTATGATAGTCACAGAGAGAGAGAGAGAGAGAGAGAGAGGCAGAGACACAGGCAGAGGGAGAAGCAGGCTCCATGCAGGGAGCCCCAACGTGGGATTCGATCCCGGGTCCCCAGGTTCAGGCCCTGGGCCAAAGGCAGGTGCTAAACTCCTGAGCCACCCAGGGATCCCCAGAAGCTTCTTATCTTGATGAAGTCCCAAGAGTTCATTATGCTGAGTGAAGTAAGTCAACCGGAGATGGACAAACATTATATGGTCTCACTCATTCGGGGAATATAGAAAATAGGGAAAGGGATTATAGGGGAAAGGAGAGAAAATGAGTGGGAAATATCAGAGAGGGTGAGAGAACATGAGAGACTCCTAACTCTGGGGAACGAACAAGGGGTAGTGGAAGGGGAGGAGGGCGGGTGGATGGGGTGACGGGGTGACGGGCACTGAGGGGGACACTTGATGGGATGAGCACTGGGTGTTATACTATATGTTGGCAAATCAACTCCAATAAAAAGATATACAAAAATATTACTAAATGAAGCCGGCCACATCTCTTGCTACTTAGGCAAACTCTCACTGATCCAGTTTGTGTTAATCCCACGTGGACACTCTTTCATTGGCCTAGCACATTTTAACATTTACCCTGCTTCCTCCGATACACCCCTGCAGCCCCCAAAACATAACTCCCCTACCTTGTTTTCAGGAATTGCAGAACACGAGGCGTGAAATATTAATACAGAGATAGATTTATTCCTTACATTTCATATGCTGTGTAACAAAATCCTATTTGTGGTTTGGGGGTTATTTGCTGGTGGCATTACCCAAGCGATCAGATATTTTGAGGATTTGATGTATTCAGTCACTGTGAATAGGTACTGTGGACGAATCCAGCAGTCCTTGTCCTCCAGGACCTGGCAGGTAATTGAGGAGACAAGTTCCTGCATCGTGAATGGATAACTAATAACACAGGTCAGTATGGTATACAGTAAAATGCAAAATCTTACAGATATTCAGGGGAAGGACAGATCACTGTGGGTGGCAGTGGTTTAGAGGGAACCTCGCAAAGAGGGTAGCCTTTATGTTGAATCTTCAAGGGTGACAGTTGGTTTCTAACCCCCTCCGTGTTGTCTTCCCCCATTCCCCCTAAATATATAGGGGGAAAAAGGGCAGAAGTAGAGATGTATTTTTCAGACAATCCTCAAATGTATCTGCTTTGAAATCTTCACAGACAGAATTACCTACGGGAAGATTGACTACCTGGCAGTAGAGCTGACCATGCACAAGAATGTCCCCGTGTCACGTGAAGCCAGCTTTCTTCCTCATCTTCGTCCCTACCAGCTCTGCCTGCAGTGTGCCTGTCCTTTTTATTTTGGCACAGGATGCATTTCATTTGTATAGAGCTACTTATGATTGCTCAGCTTCAGCTTTCTCTACGAAATTAGCAGGCTTCATCATTACAGCGTCAGTTCCCAGATGTTTAGAGGAATCTTCAGGCAAACTCCAACCAAACACTGTGCCAACAAGGAGCAAACATATTGTAGCTTCTCTCATTTGTACTGTTAGGGCAAAGATTTCGTTTGAATACAAAAGGAATCATCATTTAGATGTGAGGCATAGTTAGTGCCTATCAATTGTAACACAAACAGTCTGATTTAGGACAGAATGTCCGCGAAGCTAACCGGACACATCCTTGAGACCCCAGAAAGTTGCCCAATGTTTCCATGGCACAGACCACGTCACTGCTGCTCTCCTTCCCGCCAAAAAAAAAAAAAAAAAAAAGGAATATAAGAAGTGGGTGCTGCCTCCTTTGTCTTCCCAGACCATTTCGTTGTTCTCAGTTAGAAGGACAATTAGATCCCGATGATGCTCTGGAGAAATATACCTGCCGCTTAGCCAAGAACTAAAAGAAGTGGATGAGAGAGAGACCAATGTGATTCTGAAGATTTTCCTGTGACCGTTCAGAGAGAAAGTTTACTCTGCAGCATAATCTGAGTGCTCAGGGCAGTAAGGAACTGACCTTGTATGTGGGCACTATGCCACCTGACCAGATGGCCTGGAGCACGGAGGTAGCCAAGAGTGCCTTCCCGATTCTGAAATGGATTTGATGAAATAGGACTCTCTGATGAACATGCCAGTGCACTTGTCATTTTGACTGGAATGAGTTTCTGCCTAGAGATCTGGGACCAGCCTTAGTCTCCAAACAGATTAATCACAAGGAGGAGGTGAGAGGCAGAACTGATGTTTGGTGCTGGCGACGGTGTGTATATGTGGTGGGAGGAGGCTGGCCGTTTTGCCACATCACTCACCATTTCACTAAGTCCTTCCCACTTTCCTTCTTACCATTTCTTAAAACATTATAGGCAACGTTCTGGTTGGAGATTACAAGACAAATAAGACACAATAATTCACCACAAGAGACTCTCGGTCTAGTTAAAGAAGAAAGACACATAAACAAGTCAATGTAATAAAACATTCTCATGCGTGGTATGACAAGTGCAGTAGAAATATGTGTAATAAAATGGGAACACAAAGGAAAGGTGGTCAATTGGGGAATTGGTGGTGTCAATAAATTCTTCAGAGAAAGTTGGGAAATGTTGGAAAAAGAAAAAGAAGTAAAGTTATTTTAGGTGAATGGAGGATAGAGAGAGCAAGGGGATGAGAGAAGGAAGGTCTGTTAGGTAGAAACAGCGGAGAGAAATAAGAGGAACAGTGAGAACAAGGGACACTGCATCAAGGGGGCCATGCTGGAGGCAGGTCATGCCATACCTCAATTTTCTTTCAAAAATAGAAGTCAAAGAAACCCACTAAAGAGAGGACTAGTGATGCGGCAGGTGACTTGGTTTAGAATTATTGCTATGAGGAACAGGAGAATAAAGAGGGACTGAGGACCTAGTTCAGGTTAGGGCCTTGATGTCTTGAGAAGAGAGCTGTTAACATTCTAAAATCATCGTGTCCAGGTGTCTAGGAAAGGAAATGAAGCCAGGAAAGAGACAATCAATTGTGAGAATAGGGTTAGTCGTACTGAAAGACTAGTGAGCCAGAAGAACAAAAGCTTGTGATTAGAAGTCGGTTTGTTGGAGCCTGTGTTAGTTTCCTATTGCTGCTCTATCAAATTACCATAAACTTGGTGGTTATAGCAATGTAAATTTTTTTCTCAACAGTTCTGAAAGTCATAAATCTAAATTCAGCTGGCAGCGATGTGTTCTTTCTGGAGTCTTTATGGAAGAAACTGTTTTCTTGCCCTTTCCAGGTTCTAGAGGCTGCCTGCCTTCTCTTGCTCTTGGCCTCACATTACATTGACTTCTGCTTCTGCTGTCACTTCTCCTCCTCTCATCCTGACCCTTCTGCATGTTTCTTATGAAGACCCTTGTGATTATGTTGAGTCCTCCCAGATAATCCAAAGTTATCTTCTGATCTCAAGATTCTTAATCACATCTGTAAAGGTCCTTTTGCGATAAAAACATAGTCACAGGTTCTGGGGATTAGAGTACGGACATCTTTGGGGGTCATTATTCAACTGACTGCAGAACCAAAATATCCAGAGATGAAAATCTTGTGACCATGAAGTCTGCGTGTGGCCACATAATGAATTCCTGGAGTAGGGTGTAGATAACATATTAGGGGTGAGGAAGAAATTTTGAATCTTGTTTTTGAGAAGGATGACCTAAGTGCCATAGAATGTCATTGACATTAGAATAGTGAGGACTGAGGTCTTGGTACAAAAATTCTCAGTAAACGAGGAGGATGACCAAAATAGAGTATGATAATACTAAAATAGGAAGGGGAAATTTTTCATGAATTGGAAAACAAGTTACCTGGAAGAAGCCATGAAGATGCCTTAGATGGAGTGTTGTAGAATAAATAGCCACCAGGGGGCAGCAGAGAGTATGGCATCTTAAGGGGAAATTGCATCTCATGTATTCATTCATTCATCCATTCATATATCCATTCATCCATTCATCCAACAGGCATTAGGCTAAGTATTGGGAATTCAAAGATGGACTTTGTATGACTGTATAGTGCTGCCTTCAGTCCAGGGCATGATCCTGGAGACCCGGGATCGAGTCCCACGTCAGGCTCCCTGCATGGAGCCTGCTCCTCCCTCTGCCTGTGTC